GACTATGTTAATTTCATTGCACAAATTGTCTATTACGAAGGAACCAATGTCATATAGGGATGCTAAAAAGGACAGCAAATGGGTTGAGGCCATGCAAGTCGAGCTGTCCACACTAGAAGAAAATAACACTTGGGAACTACTTGAATACCAAAAGGAAGAAAACAATATACTCAAAATGGGTGTATAGAATAAAATACAATGCCGATGGATCAGTTGATAAATACAAAGTAAGACTCGTAGTTAAAGGTTACAACCAAGAGTTTGGTATAGACCATCATGATAGCTTCTCTCACAAGTGGCCAAAATGGTCATGGTTCGACTACTTTTAGTCGTGACAGCCGTAAGCGACTGGCCAGTATATCAGTTAGACATTAATAATGCGTACTTACATGAGTTTTTAGAAGAGGTGCTATACTTAAAAGTCCCAGAGGGCTACTTCAAGGCCAGTGAAGGGCAAGTCTACTGTTTAACCAAGAGCTTGTACGGCCTGAAACAAGCGGATCACCAGTGGAACAAGGAGCTTACTTCAAAGCTCCAATCCATCGATTTCACCAAGTCAGAAGCCGACCACTGTCTATTCACAAAAGGAATAAAAAGAAACTACGTTGCATTTGTGGTATATGTGGATGACTTAGTTGTTACGTGTCCTCACGATGAAGAGATTTGTGAAGTCAAAAGCACCATAGATGAAGCCTTCACGGTTAAGGACCTCAACCAAACAAGATACTTCTTTGGAGTCGAGATAGCTAGGTCAAAAGAAGGGATGTACATCAGCCAGAGAAAATACATTAAAAATATTTTATAAGATACAAAGATAGAAGATGCAAAAGGAAGCCACTTTTCCTTGCCTTCCGGACTAAAACTAAATGTAGAAGAAGGAAAAATCTTACCAGATCCAGAGAGGTACAAACGTCTAATCGGTCGCTTGCTCTACCTCAACTTTACCAGATCCGACATAACATACTCCACCCAACATCTCAGTCAGTTCATGCAATAGCCCAAACGGCTGCATCTCGACGCCGCACTACATGTTGTCAGGTACCTAAAGCAATATT